AATGACAGTGTGCGTGTGAGAATGACAGTGTGCGTGTGAGAATGTCAGTGTGCGTGTGAGAATGTCAGTGTGCGTGTGAGAATGACAGTGTGCGTGTGAGAATGTCAGTGTGCGTGTGAGAATGTCAGTGTGCGTGTGAGAATGACAGTGTGCGTGTGGCAATGTCAGTGTGGGTTTAGGCATGTCTATGTGGAGGTGGGTCTGTCCATGTGCGGACGAGGGTTTGTCCAGCCTCAGGAGCTGACCTATCCCCTGCCTCTGCCAAAAAGCAGCAAAGGCAACCTATCCTTTGAGTCTCTGCCATGTACCACGACTGCATGGCTTAACTGAATTCACTTTCAATTATTTTCACATGTTCAGCCCTAAATATAGCCCCTGTCAATTTCCTTCTGTGGCATTTGCTTGTGCCAGTCTATCTTACACATGCACTCTCACTGCTGCATCGCTGCACTTCATCTCCTGCGACAGTTGCAAGTAAAATTCAATTTCTGAAAAAAGAAACACTTTTTTCCACATGTTAAAGCAACTTGGTCTTGTGTCATAATGTGTTAAAGCGGATAAGAGTCGCAGTAATGACATGGAGCTGTCACTCGGGGGCGTGAGCATGGCCGGCCGCCCAGAGATGCTTTAGGTTACTTCACTGTCACATTTTGGCACAACACCGTCTTTTTTTATTCAAGAAAAAGGCATTAGAGGAAATTCCCAAAGCTTTAAGAGGAGCATTCTGTTTCGGATCCCGAGGCTACGATGCGAGGAATGTCTTCATCTTGATGGGTAATTATATCACAAATTATCACTAAAATAGTAGTGCACAAAGAATTCCTGTTATACGGGGATGTCCGGGCACTTTTTATGGGAAGTTACTCTGTTGCCGCAAAGGGCAGAGGAGGAGCAGGCTGGATTCTCATGATTACCTAAATAACAGTGTTTTTATTCTGATTGCAGTTTAGGGGGAGTCCTTTTAATGTGTTTTTTTAAATGATAGTCATAGTATTTCCTATTTGCTTATCAGCAGTGACTGGGTTTTTGTGCATTCTATAGCTTGTTAGCGTCAGGATTCTAAGGTTCAATTCCAGGTTCCAGAATTCCTATAATCTCCATCATTTAATGTAACAAGGGTTTTCTAGGCTATATTAGACCCTGAGAACAGAACTACAAAAGGGTCAAGTTGATCCCTACCCCTCACACACACTTTTACAATTCATAAAGAATGATGACTATGGCCATAGTTAATTTTATAGATGTCTCAAGCCTATATATAGAGTTTCTTAAACTGCACTTTGGGCTAATGTTTGACTAAACAAATGTGTGTGTATTTTAATTTGTATTTATCACCTATGTATGGGCAGCATGTATTTTCTCCGATCAGAAATCTTGTCATGCAAGGCGATCAATGTTTGAAAGTGGCAGGGCGCTGCCATTTTGCAATCCTCCCTCATAATACATGTTTGGTGTCTTATAACAAAGCATTAAGAGTGCAGTGTATTTTCTGAGTGGAAAAGACAGACAGTGTTTACTGACTTACAGAACATCATCACCACCCAGATAGGAAAGTGAGTAAGACAGAAAGCCATGGCACAAAGAAACAAAACAATGCATTGACTGGTAAATGGAAATTAGGGAAGTTCCTAGCAGGCTGTTAGAGAAACTAACTTGAAACCTATAGAGCATTTCTGATTAATAAGAAATTAATGCATTAATTTAAATTTGAATTGGGCTGGAGTCCACATAAGAGTTGAAATGTTGTAACGTTGCATAGTTATATATCTAATTCTTAAATAAAGATATTGATATGTAAAATCAGTTGGTAATACAACGTGTGCCCCCTTAGATTGCCAGTGAATCCAGTGTGTGTTTTTGTATAGCTAGTTTAGTATGAGCTGTGGGTTGGTTCTGCCTCAACCGATTCCACCAACTGTTGATGAACATTAGCTGCTGTCCGGGTTAGATTCTCCCGAGCCGGTAGTCCTTAATCATCTTCCAGCAAACTGTGACTTGTGAATGTCACAAGAAGTGTTTATTTTTGCAGGGAAGTACAGAAGAGTTGAGCGTGGCCCCAAACTATGATAGGATCAATTTAATGAAAGTTTGTTTTGCTGGCTGTCCGCAGTGTGCGTCGGGGTCTGTCCCGGTAGAGAGGGGCTGGCCTTTCATACATGTCATACCGGCCTGAGCGGGTACCCGTGAGCTCACTGGTGTGGTCACTTAGTCTGTCTGAAACGGCAGATTCACCAAGCACAGAGTGGCCATGTCAGCGCTACCTGCTCAGGGCAGCTCTGGGCACGTGCTGGGGTACGTGCTCTGTAGGTGGGAGGGGGCTGACTCATGGAAGTTTCAAACATACCCCGAGCCTCTTACGACATCTGCAAGGTTTCAAAACTTCCCTTTTGCCAGGTTTCTGCACTTGCTTTGTGCTCTTCTCCTTTCCTTCTCCTATTCCTCTCTCTCTCTCTCTGTCTCTCTTTCTCTCTCTCTCTCTCTCTCTCTCTTGCTGGCTCTTTATGTCACTGACTCGGGGTGAGGGTGTCTGATTTGCCGCCCGTGGTTGTCCTGTCACGCAGAGCCAGTGGTCTTCGGCCGGGTGGCATCTCCGGCTGTCGCGTCACCCTGACTGCTTAGTGGTGGATGGAGGGATTTGAGGGAAAATTCACAAAGGGAAAAGAGAAGCACAGGAGAGGAAGAACCATTAGTTGATTATTCCAGACTGACAGACTCCTTGGAAGGTGAGTGTTTTATAAATTTTTTTTTAAGTTTAACGCTCACAGATCCAGCCAAATATATTTGCCCTGGCATGTTTTTACAAGGACAGCACAGTGCATCTCATAATGAAAGCATCTTTTTATGTATCTGTGGGCATGTGTGTCACATGGTAACACCTGGAAAAGTGTCAGCAGTCGTAGGATATTAAGAGGATACGTCTAACGTCACTGCCGTTTTATTTAGTACTGAATCTGAAAGTATTTTTCTGATGACCTTTTGTCTATGTATGAACTCGTAAGCACTACTCTTATAAAAAGTACACAAGTGCGGCCCATCAGAGGCCGGGCTGTTGGCTGCGTACACGATGCTTTCTGTGCATTATGTTCAAATGTATGGATTGAGCTCCAGCTAGCTGCCCCTCACCCAAGGGCAAGTGTAACGTCAGCGCTCACGGTGGTGTGCGGCCTGGGCCCGTCAGCGGTACCCCTCACTTCTTCTCACTCTGGACCTTGTGCCCCACAGTCTGCCTGGTCGCTCAGCTGGCTGAAGCATAACCAGTGGCTGACCGGCCCTCTCTGTGTCACATTCATTTGCATGAATGTGAGGTGCCTGTTCACACACATGGCGATTGAGGTTTAAGGAGGAAAGACATACTGGCATCTGTGTTCGTACAGCCATTCCTTTATGATCTCTTTGCTCTTAAGCTATATAACTTCCTGTTGTTTTACTTCTCAATTTGGAAATGTGGATTCTTTGCAAGCTTATGGTTTATCCTTAAATACCTTAATTCTCAAGGAAAGTAGTGTGTGAGCCCTGTTCTCCATAGTCCTGTTGAAGGCTCAGCGGTAGAGCGGATGTAGTGCTGGCGTGAACCTCTCATGAACTTACAGCATGCCTAGGGTGTGTGGACGAGGTGTGGAAAGTGACATGATGTGTGGACACATGGGGGGGGGGGATTCCTCTGCGTTCTTCTTAGTACTGTCCATTCTGGAAGTCAGGAGGCATTTACATTGTGGGCAAGGCATTCTCTGCTGGCTTCATGCCTGGAAGCAGTGGCCGGTGTCTCAAACAGTGTGCTGCTTTATCATCATCATCCATTTGATGCTGATTAATTTCTTTTGTTTGTTAATAGTTTTATATGTTTTTTTTTTATTTTCAAGTACAGTAAAATACAAACAGATTAAAACAGAAAAAAACATTGATGGACTGACAGGATTGAAAGAGCAGTTATCATATTACAATGAATGCTCTCAGATTCTGTTTACATTGTGATACCCCTGTATTGAAGTGGTTGGCCACTGTAAATACCATTTAGCGACTCAGTCAGTCATCTTCTTCCCTCTATTTCCCAACAGTCCCTATATTTCCATTTAAGTGTTAAATATATTTCTATAAAAATGGATTTCCAAAATTATACCTGTTGTCCTCACAGGCATCTGTGACACACAGACAGAATCAGTCTCACAGAGGTTTGTGGCTAGTTAGTCGGGGCAGTTGAAACAGTTTTGGTGATGCCACTGCTGCTGTGGTTATTGTGACAGTGGGGTTTTGGCAGCTAACTTCCTGCGTCACATTCAAGGTGGATTGATCGAGGGGGCCGCCAGTGCTCTGTGTTTACCTAGAACTGTGCAGCGATCACACGCACCGCTGCACTTTGTGTAAACAACGTTACCTCACGGCTTCTCATAGAAGCAGGAGGCGTGGAAGTGAGACGTTACTTCATGGATACACCATCCTGTAAATATCCCAGCTTTACCTGTCAAGCCTAAATCAAGGTGGAGCTGCACCCCTACATCTGTTGACCTTGTCTTGCAATTTCAGTTGTTGTGATGTCGTAGCTCTGCATCATAATCCTCAACGGAAGCGCACCTACATCACAGAATGTAAACAGGAATCAAGCAGGTAATGAAAACAGCACGACTAGCCAAGTAAGTCACCCAGCTTTGGACAGGAGAGGTATGAAAATATATATTTATTATAGATATTTAACTTAAATAGCTATTTGTGCCCCTCAGACCTTTTTCCACATGAACAGTCGAGTGAACAAGAATCAAACTGCATGTAAAAAGTGATAAGTGAACAATATAAACCAATATAAACGATATAATTGTGACGACAGCAGGGAGTTTCAGGAGTACACTGTGATACACAGGATGCACAGCCAATATCGTACCGGGGTGCGTTTCTCAAACACTCCCCTTAGCAATTTACATAGTTGGGCTCATTCAGTTGCATAGTCACAACTATGGATGTTGCTGACATACTGAGTAACTATGGGAAACACACCGCCATATGTTTGATTCCTTGGGATACTGGTCACACTGGGGATGGAAAATACAGTATGAACAACCAGGAAAACTTGGAAAGTGTGTCATCAGATTATCACCGGTAATGCTTCAGTAACACAGCTAACATTGCTAAGAGATATTTCAGTCAGACACTAAAATGCTACAAAGCACATTTCAGTGTTTCAAGGCCTATGCTAATGAATTTGTACTCATGCTGTATGTTTGACAAGCTGTGATAATACTGTAATATCCAGATTATTAAAAAAGACCATAAACTGAAATATTGTGTTGACTTCACATTAACACTCTGTTATCGTATCTGTAGTCATGTAACATGCTGATAACTTTATGAAGTGTAATCAACTGAATATAAGCTATATACTTTTGTTATTGAGTAACTCACACGTGTTTATAGCTATTAGCTAATTTGGTAAATCAGTACTGCAGTGTCGGCTCCTTTTTGCAATTCACTGCCCTAGTTTCACTTCCACGTTTAGCCGCTTTCATCACGCTGATTAGCCCCCGTCACCCACGTACGCCAATCGACAGCGGGCCACTCGCATCCTAGCAGCTGGCTCATCGGACACATGCTGCTGTATGGGCCCTTAAGTGGCATTCGGAGAATCCTCTCCTGCTCTTAAATACGTTCATTCTGACCGCGGCTTCGCAGAGGTTTATGGGTGGTCTTAGGCTAAGGAAACCACCGCAGTCAGGCCATACTCCAGTAGTTAAAAGAGAACAAGGTGAAGATTCTGGGGTCATAATTCTTACTGGTAACGCAGATCCACTGATAGAAAGTGAAGCGAATAGCACAGGGGTGCCTGGATGGCTAGATGGGCAATTTAGATACATCTGCTAGAATTTTTTTTTTTTAATAATCAAAAACAATTATAGGAACTCAGTTGCAGTTCTGTTTTATTGTAAAGGTGTATGATATTTTTCTGCAAAGACATGTGTGCTTCCATTTTTGATGATTGTTATTCAAATCAGTAGTACAGAAGAGTAGCGGTGCTCTGTGCCAGGCCACTAGCATTCAGTTACACCAAGCACACAGTATCAAAGAGGAAGTGCTTTCAGCCAAATGGACTGAACACAGTGTCACGTTTGCACATACCCTGTATGGACTTATCTGATGCAACTGCCCCAATTGTTTAAGTAATAATACTAATACACTGCAATGGAGTATTAGTGAATGGAGTATTAGTGGTGTAGAAAGAGGCTTTGCAGGAATATTAGGGCTCTGGTAGAGTCTGAAATCGGCAAGCACGTTGGTCAGCATTGATGGGGAAACCTAACATTCCTTCCCCAAAATCGTCTGGTAGGGAGATGTGAAAGCGGTTTCCATCTGCGTGCAAGTGCCTCTTTGCGCTGCACTCGAAAGAGGATCACAGTGGCTGCGAGATGCATCCGCGCTTTGCCTCGGGGCCGGAGGCGCTTTCAGTTTTCATAATTTTGTAAAAAAAATATTTGCCAGCTCCTTGTTTTTAAGAAGGTGCTTACTGACGGACCCCTGTGACCCATGTGGTCCTCAGATTGTCTTTATGGGAGACTGAAGGGAAGATTCTGTAACATTCATACCAGCCAGACTGATGGATCTGCACTCATCACAGTCTCGTTTGTGCAGTTTTTATTTGCTCTATTCTGAGATCCATCCAAGCGGTTTTAAATACACAGCAGTGGTGGCTTGATGGTTAAGGAAGCGCACTTGTAATTGAAAGATTGCAGGTCCAAATCCCCGACCAGCAAGGCACCACTGAGGTACCCTGAGCAAGGTACCGCCCCCAAGCACTGCTCCCCGGGCGCTGATTTAGCTGCCTCCTGTTATGTCACGAAAGTCACATATGGGTCAAATGCAGTGGACACATTTCGTTGTTGTGTGCTGTGGTGTGTTGACAATGACCACTGATCACTAAATTCTAAAAATCACTGATGATCCTCACATGGTACCAGCGGTAAATCCTTGGCTGGAGAGAATAAATTTTTTGTGGGAATGCATCAAAAAGGTCAGAAGGTAATAGTCTAGTGATAAAAATGCATGAGACTTAAAAAATAATAATAATTATAATAGGACTGGTACCCCATCCAGAGTGTAGCCCTGCCATGCTGGGATAGGCTGCAGTCCTCCTCATGACTCAGACCAGGATCAGTGGTTAAAAGACTGCTGGATGGATGGATGGATGGATGGATAAAAAAGTTAAGTGTATTTATCAGATTTACCTCCACACTATTAGATTAACTCCAGTTGCTTTGAAGAAAATTGGGATCTGCTGCCTACACATATTTGATATGACCCTGTGGTAAAAATACATAGACATGAAAAAAAAATTGGGGGGGGGGGGGGTTAGGAAGACTGCATTTTTGAGGCCTAAAATACCTCCATCCCCTCTCAAGATCTGGTATTTAACTCTGTGAAAGGTTGTGCTTTTAAAAGCCTGAAAAAGAGAATTTATTTTGAAAATTGTTGTGATTAAAAACTCTCGACAGCTGCGCACCATGAAACCGATCAGCTTGAGAGAAAGTGAGAGAGAGAGAAACATGCAAACATAACAGGATATTACTTCAGTTTGCAATTGTACCTCTTGAGAAGATGAACTAATGAGAGATAAGGTGGGTGGGTGCGTCTGTGTTTCTGCAAAATACACGAGGTCTCAAAAGGGATGAAATGGGTTTTTTTGGCCAATAGTTCTATAGCTACTACCTTTTCAGGCAAGGTGCTGTCACCATTACTGGTACCT